ATTGTGTTGTTGTTTTAAATATATTTATCCGAACTGCATTTATAATTAGTGTTGTTGTTGTGTGTTATGTGCTTACAAAAGGAAACCAGAAGACCAAAGCAAAAATGAAAACATTGAAAATACAGGGAACATTTTTTAAAAAACTGATTCCTAAATTTCCTTCATATCCCTAAGCGTGTATCATTTTGCAATCAACGCACACGCAATTATCTGAACCTCCATCTCGACCACCCTCACTAGTGGATCGCGCTTTCACCATCTTGTCAGCGGGAGTTATCCATCAATGGATAAACGACGATTTCCAAAGATCCTGGGCAATTACGTCTGGTCTGGAACCCGTAAAATACTACAAGACGTCAAGAAATTTCAGGTTCGTTGGATACTGGCCGTCTCAAACATTGATCAATCACCAAGACATTGGGTATCATGAACTGCAACATATTGAAAAGTGCTACATTACATAATCAGAAACTACTTTATTACGAATACGCTTGCATTGAGTTTTCACCTGCAATAGGAATCAGACCAGTACTGAATATAATGGGGCTCCATCGATAAAGCACTACTGAAGTCAACGAAAATTTAACACTTGTATATCAGTTTCTTTAGTCCACACACCCACCCGAAAGGCAGATCGTTAACCTTTGGCTGGCCCAGTCAAAGACTTTTGGATGCTTAATTAGCAGCTTAAAAGCACATCGGATAAGTCCTACGTGTAAGGTTATCAAGGAATTATCCTCTCATAAAAATTTACACTGGCCTTTAGTAAAAGCGTCAGTATCTTTCTGGAACTGATATAGGTTAATCAAAATACTCATGAGAACCGATGTTAGATTGGAAGGACTTGAGTTCGTACAATCACCTCATCTCCCTGTTTGATTCAAGTAACAGCTGGTATTATTCAATTGCATGGTGGGCATTCCTTTCTCCGTGAGGCGTTAAATCACGATCCTAAGTGGTTTCAGTCGTAGAATCGTTATAATTATTTGTCTCGACAGATCAGGGATTGGCAACGTCCACAAGCGCTTAAAGAATATAATTTGGGCAAACAAACAGCTATGTAACATGATTCTGAGGAAATGACTTACTAATTGCACATATTTCGAGTATTTTACATTTGATTTGTTTGTTCGGATTCAATTAATTTGACCTTCAATTCTCAGCCGCCATTAGGTTCGTTTGTAGGTCGGTCTCATTGTTTTAATTGTTTATTGCGATATTTTTGAAACGTTATTCGTATGGGTCGAATGTCAAACGGTATTTCGGTTGGTTCGTGTTGGCGTTTCACTGATAGTGAAAAGTCTAATTCCGAGACAGCTCATCATATACATATAACCTTAATCAAATATTTTGGGAAGCGTACTTCGTCTCCATATTCTGGTTAGTTGGAGTTTTTTTTCTTAGCTGTTTTAATTCATCAACAACCTGTAACTTGTATGTATTTCTTTCCTTGTTCGCAATCCCCCTGGTCGTTAAAAAATTGGAATATGGCTTTGTTGCTTTGTTTTCCGGTTATCAATTTCATAAGGGTTTTCTCCTTATGATATCGTACCGCTTTTTTTTCACTGTTACATTTGGGTGTCGGCTTTGATAAAGGTATGTTTATATGTTTAATCCGGAAAAAATGAAAAGCGATCAACATCGTTTGTCTACGTATGTATATTCACGTATTTGATCGCAAATACTTTCGCATTTCCTTAGTAATGCCATTTTGCAATAAAGTTCATTCGTGTTTAAGAACTCAGAACCTCCATGAAACTTAACAAACTAAATTCACATTGATCTGCACTCCATTCCTATATTGGCGCTGATGTTGGGATGGCGGTTGTCGTAACCCTAGGCTCATTTAGCAGTTGTGTTCGGCTAAAATAATGCTTATGTCCTGTACCACTCGTTTGATATCGCCACCAGTCTGTGGGGGAGTGCTGTGTATTCACTTTGTGCAACGTTTAGTTTCATGTTTTGTCAACCCGTAACTTTTGCTTCTCAGTTCTTAATGATGACGGATCAACTGATGGCCGACGCGGGAGAGGCTTCCGCGTACATAGCAAATCCCGATGGAACGTACTCTGCGGTGCCTCTGGCTACAACAGAAGACGGTCAAGTCGTACTTGCCTTGAATGAAATGGGTATTGGTAATGAAGGTGAAGACATGGTTGTAATCGCAGCTGACGATAACCTGGACATGGCTACTCTTGAAAACTTGATTGCTTCAGGTGCAGTAACCACTGTAACGGCAGAAAACGGTACAGAGTACCTTCAGGTATGTATTTTTCGCTAAGATTACGTTCTTCCAGTTTGCCGATCCTAGTATGGAAGGTGCGCAAATTATTGAACTTTCTGCAGACCAAATGCAGCTGTTGGATCCCAATTCCAAGGCTTACTTTGGTGCCTCTGCAGTGGCTCCGGGTGCTGGATTTGTTACACTTGCTGGACAGCCGAGCGGTGTGACATATCGTTGCCCGTCCTGTCCGGCCATGTACGCAAATGCTAATGCATTCACCAAACATATGCGAGAAAAGCACTTCGTCAAAGTTTATACGTGTCGTCAGTGCGAGGAGTTTTTTGAAACACTCAGCCAGTTGTTTCTACATGCCAGGCGCAGCCACGTTGACCCGAAAAAGCCCAAGCGCAATCCTGCTAATTACAAATTTCACTGTGACCAGTGTAACTATATGACTAACAATGGTGGTACCATGGAACACCATAAACGTGCGCACACGGGTGAGAAGCCGTTCGTGTGTGACGTGTGCAACAAACGTTTTGCTCAAAAGGCAAACATGAAAACTCATCGCAACCGACATATCCACCGAGATAAAATATTTCGCTGCGAGACGTGCAATAAAGCGTTTTCTTCATATGACATATATTTGGCTCATTTACGCACAAGAGAACATGAATTGCGAGAACACTTTGCAATGATGGCATCATCTCAGGTTTGTCGTCTTTTTCTGATTAATTTCTTTTCAGTTGGCTTTAGAATGTCTTGGTTGCGCTGTTACTTTTGATAGCATCTACAACTTGAACAAACATACACGCAGCTGTCGCATTGTGCGTACTTTACAGACCAAATTTCGCTGTTTACCGTGCAACGCGTATGTGAGTGATGTCGCCTCGTTGAAGGCCCACGTTAAGGCACATGAAGGTAGCCAGATAATTTCCTGTCCCGTTTGCGGCGAGCGTGGCTTTCCTGGTTTCAATCAGTTAAACCATCACATTACGAGGGCACATGCCTTGAAAGTTAACCGTCGACATGTTTGCCGCTATTGCGAATCCACTTTTGAGGTCAAAAAGGATCTCGATGCGCACATTAGAAGCATGCATGCCGAAGAGCGAAACGCACGACAGTCTCGTGGTGCGGTCGGGCGTCTGAAATGTCGTTATGGTCATTGTGAATTCACCACAAATTCAATCATGCTCCTTGATCGTCATCATGACCAACATCGTCGCCAAGAAGAAGATGGAGTAGACACCGGTCTCCAGCTACCACCCGCTAAACATGCTTATCCCAAACGTCGTCGTTCGAAACAAGGTAGACGCATCCAGAATGCTGATGTATATGATGACGATGAAGAAGCTATGCACGGGGTGGCAGACGACGATGCTGCGGATGATGACGGCTACGGTGACCCGTTGGAAGATGGCAGTGAGTCATATTTAACTTTATTGCACAGTGCAAATTACGGTAAAAGAGGGATCCTCCTAGACAAAAAGTATACTATAAAAGGGAGCATTCACATAAGATTCAGTTTATCGATTCTGCTTTTAAAGAGCGTAAGGTTGTAAGTTGGGGGAAGACAGAAAATGCAATGCTGTTCCACGACTTGACAGTTCCGAGGAAAAAAAGGAGCAAATAAACGAAATCTGATAAAGGCTACTAGATGCCTGTTTACCGGATTGGTAGGCAAAAGTTACAGAAAGGGAAAACACCGAAGCAAGCTCCGAAGAACAACAACCAAAGTGGTGGCGGTAGAGCAGGGGCAATAAAGCAACTACTCCACGATGAGCTAGTGGCTGCAGATTAGATGTTAGAAAAGTATCATCGATCACCCGGGTGGCCTTTTGTTGAACACGATCATGAAAAAAGAAGCTGCACTCCACAGATGACTACGCTTGTCACGAGCCGGGCGGATTTGAGCTTTATGCAGTAGAAGATGAGCTGGGGTGATAAAGCGTATGAAATAGAAAAAAAAACCTTGCGCGCAACACGAGTCATAAAAGGGGACCAGCGTGAAGCATTAGGAAATCCAGATGGGGTAGTTTGTCGAACGCAGATCGGTGGAATCAAAAGTAGGTGAGGATGAATGATGTTTTAGAGAAACTGAAAGAAGAGCGGTTTTTGAAGCACTGAATGAAACATGGTTGACATTGCCCCGAGACATGTGTTCAAGATTAGAGTCCAGTGGCACAATAACTGCGCCACGGACACCATTGGTGTTGGTTTGGGTATGGCAAGTAGTGCGGTAGGAGAGAGGCGTCATCAATAAAAGAGTGGATTGGGTTGATAGTTAAGAAAGGAAATCATTGATAAATAGAAGCTAGGGACTGGGCGCAAGTACTGAACCTTGGGGCGCGGCTGAGATAGAACCCCATCAACTCAAATGGAGGTGGTTCGCTTACTGAGGAAACTTCATATCCATGCTACGAGACCCGAAGAGAACCCAAACATTGACAGTTTCGCCAGTGGATCTTCAAGCCAAACTCGGTCAAAGGCCTTTGGGATATCAAGCGAAACTAAGTGTGTATTTCTCCGCGGT